TTTTGTGTTTAATTTACAACTTGTCGTTTGGAATTGTAAACTTTGGATAATGATGTAATTAAATTTTAAATGTATGGTTGTGTTATTTATACTCTTTTGCTATGAGACTCTACCTGCCATACCTCATGTTTCCGCTTTAGCGGGGTGTGACAGATTTGGTATCAGAGCTGTAGGTTATGGAGAATACCGGTTTTCTAAGAAAACCATACACTATAACCCAAAATTTTACGAAATAATCTTCTTAAAAAGAGTCTCAAAATTTCAAAACGGACATACTACTAATATAACTAGAACGAGTGACTTCTTAGCATACTCTAATTAGACAGAGTCTGATCACCTGTGTCTAATTAAGCATGTATAAGGAGAGACGCGGATCGGTTATGTTAGGTGTTTGTCTAAAAGTTAAGGACTTCTTACTCAATAAGAAAAACATGGTTCGCATATGTGAGTTTGCATAAATCTTGCATCTTTTTGACATTTATTATGATTCGTTCGATAATTTAAAATTTTATTAAATATCGCAGCACTATGTCATCAGATAATGAGTTTTCGAACTCCGGAGATTACGACCCTTCCGAGCACGGTTATGATAGTGACAACGATGTTACTGAGTCCTTGGCGCGATCACCTACTCCAGAGCCGCCTCGCTCTATACCCGCGCATTCTATAGCACCACATGGAGTTAGAGTTCGGGCCACCGCCCGAAAGTGCATTTCGTCCGCCTGTGAGGGTGTCTTTCTCCGCCCCTTCCGGAGCCATGAGGGAGTCATCTCTGTCACGCACTCGTAGTATAACACCCCTACCCACCACTAGGACCACGTCGGAGCGCTCTCCGGGTATGACTACCTTGGAGAATTTATGGGTTTTGGGCATCGCTCAAGACCTAGAGATGTATGATCGTAGGTTGGAGCATTATCGACACTTTGCCGATGGAGTGATTGCGGCCCTAGCACTCAAGACAATATGATGGATCGCTCATTGGAGTTGATTTTCATCGCTAGGAGAGCGATTAGGAGGTTGTATACCTATCTGGCAGTGTTAGCAGGAGTTCTGGCGATAGTGATGGGATTACTTGTTTGGAGTCTGATGCGCTAGAAGACTTTATTTATTAAGCTGTTGATGGATCAAACTTAAGATTTTCTTTTGGGGCATGTAGTCGTGACTTATGAACAATTCCTCTCGTTTGTTGCATGTCTTAATTTTCTTTGTGGATATTATGGGATTTTGTTTTTGGATGGTTAAACTTTGCTGATTAATGATTAAATGCCTTTATTATTATAAGTTTTTATATATTACCTTGGATTCATGATTAGATGATTGTAGCATGTCGTGCATAATGCAATACAGTGGTAAATAGTGAAAGTAACCAAAATTCGATTTAAAATTTGTGCATTAGAAATATGCCTCCAAGAAGAGAAGATCCTGAAATAGCGAGACTGGTGTCCGAGCAAATTCTTGCAGCCCTTCCTAATATAGTTAGCCAAGTAGCAGCAGGCTTGAACGCTAACCAAACAAATAACCAAGGTACAACAGCTAATAGAGACTGTACGTACAAAGGCTTTAGAGCTTGCAACCCAAAAGAATTCCACGGGACAGAAGGAGCCGTGGGATTGCTTACTTGGATTGAAGGAATGGAGTCCGTCCTTCATATCAGTAAATGTGCTGAAGGGAGCAAAGTGGAGTTTGCAGCCTGTTTACTGCAAGGACGGCATTGACGTGGTGGAATACCCAGATACAAACCCGAGGTCGGGAAACAACCAACGGACTTACATGGGAAGAATTTAAGAAATTACTCAAGGAAGAGTGTTGTCTGAGAAGTGAGATCCAGAAGTTAGAAGCAGAACTTTGGAATCACGAAATGAAGGAAAGTGATGTAGACTCACACACTGCTCGTTTTCATGAGTTGGCAAAACTGGTGCCACACTTAGTATCACCTGAAGAAAACTGAATTGATCGTTATGTATGGGGTTTAGCTCCAGAAATCTGGGGGAATGTGACTTCGGCTAATCCAAAAACACTTCAAGACGCCGTGAGCTTAGCGACGAAACTCACCAACAATGCTATTCGGTCAGGATCACTTGCAAATGATAAAGTCAAGGGTAAGAGAAGGATGGAGGAGCCAGCGAGGAGGAACTACAGCGAGAGGGGCAGTAAGGCCCAAAAAGTGATAAGAAACTTTGGGGCTCAGTCACAAAAAGGCGAAAAGGGCAAGGGAACTTACCCTAAGTGTAGCAAGTGCAATTATCACCATAGCGGGAGATGCATCGTCTGTTTCAGATGCAACAAAGGAGGTCATTTTGCTAAAGATTGCAAGATCGGAGGGAGTCGAACATGCCATGAGTGCGAAAGCCCGAATCACTTCAGGAATACATGTCCGAAATTGAACCGAGGGTCGGATACTAACCCATCACGACCAGTCAACCAAGGAAATCAAGGAGGTGAAGCATGAGGTCGAGCATTTGCAATTGGAGTGGAAGAAGCCAGGCAAGACTCGAATGTGGTCACAGGTACATTTCTTCTGAATAATCATTATGCATCCATATTATTTGATTCTGGAGCAGATAGGAGTTTTATATCCCTAGAATTTAGACCAAAGATTGGTTTAAAGTCGCAAAAGCTGAAAGAATATTTCGTTATCGAGTTTGCTAATGGTCAGGAAGTTAGGACTAAAGACGTAATCACAAATTGTACATTACGTTTAGCTGAACAAAACTTTAGCATAGACCTTATTCCAATTAGATTAGGAAGCTTCGATGTAGTTGTGGGTATGGATTGGCTATCCAAAAATCAAGCCGAGATATGTTGTTCTGAGAAGACCATCCGCATTATGAAAGGAAGCGAAACGCTCGTGGTGCACGGAGAGAAGTCCCAGAGAAATTTCAAGTTAGTAACGTGTATGAAGATGCAAAAATATTTGAAAAAGGAATATGTCGCGTTTATGGCTCACATTATGGATAAAGGAATTAAAGAGAAACGCATCCAGGATTTTCCCATAGTTCGGGATTTTCCCGAGGTGTTTCCTGATGAGCTACCAGGATTACCCCCGTTACGGAAAGTCGAATTTCACATTGACTTATTTCCTGGAGCAGCACCTGTAGCCAAATCACCTTATCGTTTGGCACCATCGGAAATGAAAGAATTGTCAGACCAACTAAAGGAGCTACTCGACAAAGGATTCATCAGACCCAACTCTTCACCCTGGGGAGCTCCAGTTCTATTTGTTAAAAAGAAAGACGGATCCCTTCGGATGTGCATCGATTATAGGGAACTCAATAAGCTGACCATTAAGAACCGATATCCTCTTTCCCGAATCGATGACTTGTTCGATCAACTTCAAGGTGCCACTTACTTTTCAAAAATCGATCTTCGATCCGGATACCATCAAATGAGGGTCCGTGAGGAAGATATTCCTAAGACGGTGTTCAGAACTCGTTATGGTCATTATGAATTTTTAGTTATGCCATTTGGGTTAACTAACGCGCCAGCGGTTTTCATGGATTTAATGAATAGRGTATGTARGCCATATTTGGATAAGTTYGTGATTGTATTCATAGATGACATCCTGATCTATTCGCAAAACAAGGAGGAGCATGAGCAGCACTTAAAGTTGATACTTGAACTATTAAGGGATCAGAAATTATATGCCAAGTTCTCTAAATGCGAATTTTGGATTCGTGAGGTGCACTTCCTTGGTCATGTGGTAAATGCGAAGGGAATTCATGTTGATCCGGCCAAAGTTGAGGCTATAAAGAGGTGGGAAGCTCCAAGGACCCCAACAGAAATTCGCCAATTTCTCGGTTTAGCGGGTTACTATCGCCGTTTTATTTCAAATTTCTCCAAGATCGCACAACCACTGACGGTATTAACCCAGAAGGATAAGGAGTTTATGTGGGGAGAAAAGCAAGAAGAAGCATTCCAATTGCTCAAACATAAGCTATGTCATGCACCGATCTTAGCACTACCAGAAGGCACGGAGAATTTTATGGTATATTGCGATGCATCACATCAAGGCTTGGGATGTGTGCTGATGCAAAATGACAAGGTCATTGCTTATGCATCAAGGCAACTCAAGGTTCATGAAAAGAACTACACCACTCATGACTAGGAGCTAGGAGCAGTGGTGTTTGCACTCAAGATTTGGAGACATTATCTCTACGACACCAAATGCACCGTCTTCACTGATCACAAAAGTCTTCAACATATTCTAAACCAAAAGATGCTGAACATGAGGCAACGGAGATGGGTCGAACTTCTCAACTATTATGACTGCGAAATAAAATACCACCCAGGGAAAGCTAACGTGGTAGCAGACGCCCTAAGCCGAAAAGAAAGAATAAAACCGTCAAGAGTACGAGCCATGGGGATAATAATTTAAACGAACCTAAAAATGCAAATTCGTGAAGCTCAAGAGGAGGCGTTGAAAACAGAAAATCTGAAGAACGAGACCCTGCATCACTTAGAGAAGGAATTCGAAACCCAAGCAGATGGGGTGCGTTACTTTAGAGATAGAGTTTGGATACCAAAGGACGACAAACTTCGGTCAACAATTTTGGAAGAAGCACATCGCTCAAGATACTCAATTCACCCAGGAACTGATAAGACGTACCAGGAGCTAAAAGAATATTACTGGTGGCCAGGAATGAAGAAGGACGTTGCTTTGTACGTAAGCCGATGCTTAACATGCGCAAGGGTAAAAGTAGAGCATCAGAAACCGTCTGGTCTCCTTCAGCAACCATAGATTCCCCAATAAAAATAGGACCAGATATCAATGGACTTCGTTACTAAGTTACCTAGGACTAGGAAAGGACATGACTCAATTTGGGTCATAGTGGATCGGCTTACAAAATCTGCGCACTTTTTACATGTTCGAGAAGACTTTAGTGTGGAAAGGCTTGCACAAATCTACATCGATGAAATAGTTACACGTCATGGTGTGCCTATTTCCATTATTTCGGATAGAGATACATGTTTTACATCAAGAATTTGGCAGACTCTTCAAAAGGCATTGGGTACGCGTTTGGATTATAGCACCGCCTATCATCCTCAAACAGATGGGCAATCAAAAAGAACTATTCAAACGCTTGAGGATATGTTACGTGCGTGTGCAATAGATTTTGGTGGGAGTTGGGATACCCATCTGCCCCTTGTTGAATTCTCTTATAACAACAGCTATCACACCAGCATACAGTGTGCACCGTACGAAGCCCTATACGGATGTAAATGCAGATCACCGCTTAACTGGGTAGAGATCGGAGATAGACAGTTGAAAACGCCCGATATTATCCAGGAAACCACCAACAAGATTTCAATCATCAAGGAGAGACTTTAGACGGCAAGAGACCGTCAGAAGAGTTATGCGGATAATCGGAGAAAGCCGTTGGAATTCCAAGTGGGGGATAAAAGTACTCTTAAAGGTATCGCCATGGAAGGGACTAGTACGATTCAGGAAGAGAGGCAAGCTGGGTCCCAGATACATTGGTCCATTCAAAATACTCGAAAGAATCGGACCAGTGGCATACAAGTTGAAGTTGCCACAAAATCTAAGCGCCATCCATGACACGTTCCATGTGTCGAATCTGAAGAAATGCCTAACAGATGAAACAATAGTGCTACCCCTGGATGACGTTCAGATTAGTGATCGGTTACACTTCATTGAAGAACCAATCGAGATACTGGACCGAGAAGTTAAACGGTTGAGAAGCAGAAAAGTCCCTATTGTTAAGGTCCGCTGGAATGCAAAACATGGTACATAGTACACTTGGGAGCGAGAAGATTTCATGAAAGGCAAATATCCGCAACTGTTTGCAGAAAAATCCATTGGCAGTAGCGGTCGTTAAATTTCGGACGAAATTTCTCTAACAAGGGGAGATTGTGACAACTGTCAAATTTGAACTTCCAGGTTAGCTCTTATTAAGTTTATATTAGTGTTATTGAAGATACTTTATAAGATTAGGAGTTATTTAGATTAGTTTGGTCGAAAAATTTCTAGAGATTCCGGTAGCTGCTCAGAAAGTCCGGTTCCAACCCGTAATTATCTGAAACGTCCTATACAATGCCAAATGCTCCAATTTATACCCAAATTATAAAAAACACAAAGTTTTAGTGTTTTAAATATAAAAACTTTTTATTTAAATGAATTTAGCTATCATGGGTTTTTAATTTAAAGAAAAATGTCAAAATTGAGAAAACTGGCACTTTTGCATTTTGGGCTTAATTTTTAAAAAAACAATTATATAGAGGGTGGATTTGGGCCATCCCATGGCCGGCCCCTTCCCCACTTTCCCTCCCTTATTCCACATATAAAAAGCCCCATTCTTCATTTACAATTCATTTGCATCCTTTCAAATTTGAAACTCCTCTCCTTCTCTCTCCCTAAAACTCAAGAGTCACCTTAAAAAATCCTCTTCATCCTCCATCTTTTTCAGCCGAATTCTTCCTCTTTTCTTC